AGGCATGCGCCACCATGCCCAGAAAATTTTTTTTTTTTTTTGTATTTTTAGTAGAGACGGGGTTTCACCATGTTGACCAGGATGGTCTCGATCTCTTGACCTCGTGATCCACCCACCTTGGCCTCCCAAAGTGCTGGGATTACAGGCTTGAGCCACCGCGCCTGGCCTTTTTTTTTTTTTTTTTTTTTTTTTTTTAAGTAGAAACAGGGTTTTGCCATGTTGGCCAGGCTGGTCCTGACCTCCTGACTTCAAGTGATCCACCTGCCTTGGCCTCGCAAAGTATTAGGATTATAGGCGTGAGCCACTGTTCCCAGCCAATGGCAGTTCTTACTGTGATGTCTCTCTGGGTGTCTTATTTACTCAAAGTTCAGAGGTAACTTTTAGAGCTTTTCTACCTCTGCAAAGCCCTGTCACTTTTCTCCATGGTCAGGCTTGGCTGTTCTATGTTCAAAAACAATTTCCAGCTGAAATGTTTCAACTGGGAAAAAAATGAATTTGTTTTTGCCACACTTCTGTTCTTACTAGCCTGGAGAAGCAAGCCCATCCCTTTTGAGCTGTAAATTGCATTTCAAAGCCTGTGTCCCTGGTGGGTTTTAATTAGCTTAAAGGCCCAGCTTTTATGCAGCAATTGTTTCTCTTGCAGGTAGAGGTGAAGACACTTAATTGGGAAGCTAGTCCCAAGTTTTCTCAAAATAGCTTTTATTTATTTATTTTTTGAGATGCTCTGTCTTGGCTCCTCACTGTCCTGGGGATCTCTCTCTCTCTCTCTCTCTCTCTCTCTCTCTCTCTCTCTCTCTCCCCCTCCCTCTCTCCCTCTCTCCCTCTCTCTCTCTCTCTCTCTCTCCCTCTCTCCCTCTCTCTCTGGTCCAAAATGAAAAATGGAATATAAGGACCCTAGACTTAGCATCAGAGGACCCATGGGGTAATCTTAGGACTGCTACTCACTAACTGTGGCATCCTAGTCAAGTCCCTTCTCTTCTGTTCCTCAGAGTGAGAGCATTTCAAGTTCCGTGTGCACTCAGGTCTCTGCTAATCTGAAGTGCAGAAGTTTAGGAACAAATGTGGTTCTCTCCCCTCCCCCAGCCACCAAGAACAGTCTTTCTACCCACTTCTCCTCAGCTCATTGCTAAACTTAGGACCCCAGGGGGCTGCAGACACTTTGCTCTCAATTACACAGCTTATCTGTGAGGCAGAGCTTGGCCCAGGGCAGGAAGTAGCTTACCCAGTCAAGCACCTTCTGCTGAATTGGATATCAATATTTTCTAGGGCTGCCACTCCAAGCTAGGGGGAAACCTTGAAAAGCATAGCAAGAGTTGGGTAGGAGGGTTTGAGTTGATCTGTGGAGGTGGATGCTTGGGTCAAAGGTTAGAAAAAGGTATGTGGGACCTCTGCCCTAGTGGTCCTGACAATTTAAGGCAGCCCACAGCTAGACCTTCTCAACATCTTCTGCGACATATCCTTAACCACTCCCTCCCTAACATTGATTGAGGGCTTAACTGTGTCCCAGATTTTGTCAGGCCTGTCCTATAACATTTTCAGGGCAGAGTAATAAGAGTACAAATAGAGACCCATGTACCATATGTTTAAACATTTGAAGGTTCTGAGTGAAGCTAATAAATTGTGATGTTCCCAACAACCTGGAATACTGTATCTGAATTTAGAATTCTTGGACTCGTTAGGATTCTGTACCTGAACCTGTCAGTTGAGGGAGACCTAGTCTGGCCCCCACCTCCTTTTCATTTCCGTTCTCAACTCTATCCCTCATTTAGAGGCGTCTCATCAACAAGAGTGTGGTCACTCAAGCCTGTCCACGCCCCCACAGATACCTGTCTCCTTGGGCTGAGGGAGTCCTACACAATAGTGGCACATCCTGCCCATCCTGCCTTCCAAAGGAGTGTGCAGGGCATGAAAGTGGATTGGGGGCTGTGTAGATGAGGAGTTCAGAGGTATGATACCTAGAGCATGCTACAGATGGGCAGTTCTCCTTTTAACTGCAGATTTCTCCAGAGCAACCACATGCAGCCACATACACACAGTTCCCAGTCTCTGCTCTATAGATCTTCATGTGCCATGGCTTCTGGTTTCCCCTCCTTGGCATTATACAGAATGTTTTCCACTCTGACCTTTACCCTCATCTAGAATGGGCTCACAGGTGGCAGTATTGGAATAAAGAGGTGTCAGCCAGAGTAATTACAAGGTTTTGTAAAAGGGCTTTATGGTTTGCAAAGTCCTTTTATGTGCATCATTCCAAACTCCAGGGAATGAGAGAAAAGACTGGCAGGGCCAAACCCGAAAAACTTGGCTCACCAGTCAAGGAGTGAGTACTGATCACAGTACGAGGAATAGCTGGTTCAGCAGATGCTTCCTGCTCGGTGTTGTTTGAGGCTCCCAGTAGAGGTCATTCTTTCTATCTCCATCCATACCCCAGGCTTGGTTGGCTCCCTTTAACCAAAGCAAGTGGCTTCTCCCTGGGCCAAAACTATAACGCTTTGAGCTGAACCAACCATGAGAGAATCATCTGATGCCCACACAGGAGCCCTGTTAACTTCTTGTATACCGATGGATAGACAAGGAATTAAGCCTTGAATGGCTTGTCATCCAGGTAGGAGAAGGACTGTCAGAACTGTGAGGAATGGCGAGCCTGTGGGAACAACATGCATTGAGTATTTCCTGCTTCGTATGCACAATGTGTTACTACCTTTGTGTCCCTCACTGCTTAATAAATGTAGATGAGTGGAACCAAAGGTAAACTGAGTAACAAAAGTCTTTTTCCAAGTCAGTTCCAAAGCTGGCACCAGCCCCTTCATCAGTAGCAGTGATGGCACCCTCTCAACCTTTTTCCTTAATCTAAGATAATGCACTCCTGACTCCAGTGTATCCATTAAGTTCACCCTGGGAGCAGTTTTTTCCCAAGTTGGGCTCAGGTCCAGCCTATGATTTCCTTGTAAACAGTACCACCTGCTGGTGAGAACATTCCAGCTTCTAGGCTAGGAGGATTTAGGAGAAAACAGTCTCTTATCCCCTATTGGGATAAGAGATACAGATATATCTTCTCCAGTTCACTGAAAAGAAACCCCCCCTTCCCAAAGTATTAGGTAAATAGGCTGGCATACTGATGAAAGTTTTATATATGCTATTTGGAGTCTTTTATCACCTTCTGAAATGGCCTTAGGGTTAGAGTATTGAGATAGGAGGGTTCCAAAAGGGAGCAGCATCAACCCATACCAATGAGCAGGAGACTGGGCTGGGAACTGTGAATGCCAAGGCTTAACTTTTGGCTTTTCCTACTGAAATTGAGTTTCTCTGTTTTCCCCTTTCCCCTTGGAGCCCATGCCCAGCTGTAAACCGGGAAACATTTGTATAGCCCTTTGGGGTAAAAGACCTGGCCAGAGTATAGAGAGCCAAGGGTAGGTGCAGTCTCATCTCTAAGCCAAGCAGAACCAAATTTGAATGAGTATTAATATGGGTAACTAAAAAATAAATTCATTAAAAATAGTTCTTAGGTGAATGGGCTGACTTTCTGTAGTATCTAAATTGGCTTTAGCTCTGGGAAGCAAAACGATAAAGTTGAAAGAAATAGACTTTAGGGACAGACTGACCTGGGTTTGGATGCTCATTACTAGTAAGTTAATGAACTTGTTGTACAGTTTCTAGTAAAATATGAGTAATAATAACATTCACTTGTGGAATCTTGGGATTGTTCAGTATTGTATGCCACCTTAGCCCACAGTGAGTGCCTGGTAAGGCTTTGTATTTGTCCATTCTTGCACTGTTACAAAGAAATAACTGAGACTGGTTAATTTATAATGAAAAGAAGTCTAATTGACTCAGTTCTAGAGGCTGTACAGGCTTCTGCTTCTCGGGAGGCCCTAGGAAACTTAGAATCATAGTGGAAGGTGAAGGGGACATAGGCACATCTTCACATGGCCAGAGCAGGAGGAAAAGAGATGGTGGGAGGTGCTCTACACTTCTAAATAAGCAGATCTCACGAGCACTCACTCACTCACTATCACGAGAGCAGCACCAAGGGGGATATCCATGATTTCAGTCACCATGATCCAGTCACCTCCCACCAGGCCTCACCTCCAACACTGGGGATTACAATTAGACATGAGATTTGGGTTTGGACACAAATTCAAACCATATCAGGCTTAGCTAACATAACGTTTTTCAAAATGGCTGGTACCAATTCAGACAGTTATAGCTAGGTCTGTGTCTGGATCAGAGTAAGTAATTTTCTTTTCCTTTTCTTTTTTTTTTCTTTTGAGACAGAGCCTTGCTCTGTCGCCCAGACTGGAGTGCAGTGCTGCAATCTCAGATCACTGCAACCTCTACCTCCCGGGTTCAAGCAATTTTCCTGCCTCAACCTCTTGAGTAGCTGGGACTACAGGTGCCTGCCACCACACCCAGCTAATTTTTTGTATTTTTAGTAGAGACAGGGTTTCACCATGTTGGCCTGGGTGGCCTCGAATTCCTGACCTCAGGTGATGCACCTGCCTCGGCCTCCCAAAGTGCTGGGATTACAGGCATGAGCCATGGTGCCCAGACCGTGCAATTTTCAACATATGGTGGTGATCTAGAGTAAACATCACTTGCAATTACCATGTGACGATGGTTCTGCATTAAAGATCTTCAAATTTAGATCCTGAATAGGATAACATTTCAGATGAGCATTAAAGGAGTAGACTCAAAAGAATTAGAGTCAAGCAAATCAGGGGGCAGATCCCAGCCCTGCCATTCACTAACATTGTGGTCTCTCTGAATGTGAGATTTCTCCCTTGTAAAATGTTGTAGTTCTGCATATCATATGAGTACCAAATAAGAGAATGTATGTAAAGCACCTGGCACGAGGTCAGCATAATAAGATGCAGAAACAGGTAGGCTGGATGCTGTAAGGGTTAAGGAAGGTAAGAAGCAATTCATTTAGCCAGGATATGGGCCATAGGCAGTCCTTGAGCCCAGCTCAGGGACCCAACTTCACAGAGGCTCTCTTTCTTCAGGTGGGCACCATGTCCTTGAAGATTCAGGCAAGTAATGTAACCAACAAGAATGACCCCAAGTCCATCAACTCTCGAGTCTTCATTGGAAACCTCAACACAGCTCTGGTGAAGAAGTCAGATGTGGAGACCATCTTCTCTAAGTATGGCCGTGTGGCTGGCTGTTCTGTGCACAAGGGCTATGCCTTTGTTCAGTACTCCAACGAGCGCCATGCCCGGGCAGCTGTGCTGGGAGAGAATGGGCGGGTGCTGGCCGGGCAGACCCTGGGTAAGCCTCTCTCCACTGTATTCTCTAGAGTTAGAGTAGCTGCTCTCACTATGTAATTCTCCTCTTTAACCCCCTTCTCTGTTTCTCTCACTGCTACCACTGCTCTAAGATTTTATCAGTTTATAAACTATGTAAGTTTTCAGTAGTTATAAAATTAATCCCTATACGGAAGAATTTTAGAAGCCTCTGGAAAACACTTCTGACCTGTCCGTGCTTTCTCAGAGCTTCTTAGTGACAGGCTTTACAGCTCCAGTTAAAATGCAGATTCTCCAGAGAAAGAGAACAGAGTGGCCTAGAATAGCCTGTTACACCAGGTACAGATGACTTAGTTTAGAACCCTTTCTGAGAGCGAGCAGGAGGGGCTGGGAGCACAAGACAAAGTGAATACCCTTGGCTTTCGTGTCATGTCCATGTGATATAACTGTTCTAGTGGTCTCTCTTGAAGTATGTCCAGCATTTGTGTGTGTGCACTTCTGTGTATATGTGTATGTTTGAAAAGGGATGTCTATATGTTTTTTCCTGAACAAGAAGTATATGGATGTGACTGAACATGTGGAGATACGTGGATGCATACCTTTGTATGTATAGGTGTAATGTGTTTGAGAGAATGGGCGTTTTGAGATACATTCAAGAATACTTGAATATATCGCAGATATGCATATATTCATTTACAAAATATTTACTGAGAACTTTTCATGCACTAAGCACCATTCTAGGCATGAAGGTGTATGCTAGAACATCCATGTGAATGTGCATTGGCTCTCTTGCATGTGGGCAGTTGTGTATACTGAGCGTACTTGAGAGTACATGTTACTTGTGTGTGACTTTCTTACCTGGATATGTAAATGTGTGTGTGAGGGTGGCTCTATGTATATGTTCCCATGTACCTGGTGTATGTATTATGCATTTACATGAGTGTATTTGAAAATGCATATAGGAATACTCTACATAGTGTGTGTGTGTGTGTGTGTGTGTGTGTGTGTGTGTGTGTGTGTGACACATTTGTGAGCATGCATGGATGTATCTGAAAGTGGACATGTAAACAGGCATATCCATATGATATCTGGATATGAGTCTAATGTTTGAAGACTAGATGTATGAAGACCTTTGTTGGCAACATAAGCAAAATCCATGAATCTATGTGTATATCATGTAAGCACATGAATTGCTATGTGTGTACATGAGGGTGATGTGTGTGGACACACTACTATCATGCCAGCATTCCAACTCTGCCTTCTCTCTCTACATAGACATCAACATGGCTGGAGAGCCTAAGCCTGACAGACCCAAGGGACTAAAGAGAGCAGCATCTGCCATATACAGGTGGGGCAGTCTGTCTGTCTGGGTGGGACGTCTCCCTCTTTCCACGGAGGGAGTAAATGCTGGTGTGACAGTGTGCTGAGTCTAGAAGTTGGGGAGATGTTTGGAGTTGAGGGCCTGTGGAGAGTGGGCTGAGTGGCCGTCCCTAAGCTCCAGCCCTCTCCCCTTTGTTTCCCCAGTGGCTACATCTTTGACTATGATTACTACCGGGACGACTTCTACGACAGGTGAGCAGGGGAGGGGCGTGCCCAGGCGTGAAACAGCCAAGCTGGAAGGGTCCTGAGAGATTGTTGATGCAGCCCACTCAGTTCTCCAAATGAGAACCAAAGCCCAGAGGTATGGCCAGGCATTTGCCCAGGGTTGCTCCACTAGTCAGTGGCAGAGCTGAGACTGGGGTCCTGTTCTGCAGGTGCCCAGGCCAGAGCTCTTACCCCATACCGCACTGTCTACCATGCTAACTGTCCTTTTTCCTCCTTGTCCTCGGGTGAGATTCAAGGAGATTGTACAGCCAAGAGCTATATAAATGTGACCAGTTGTAATACACAGCAGGGTTCAGCACTGGTTGTGTATTACAGTGCTGAACTTGTGGTTCAGCAGGGAGTTTGAGTCTTTCCCTCTGTGAGGTGCCCAGGCAGCTGGTAGGAACCCCAGAGCTCTAAGCCTCTTGGGTTTGTATTTAGAGACAAGAGGTCAGCAGCCATTTGTAAGTTTAATTAGTCCCTTACAGGCTGTGGCCTACCCTCCACTCCCAAGCCCTACCCAGCCTCTAGCCCTGAGGCTGTGGGCTCCAGCTACAACAGAATTAGCCACATTCTTGAGTAAAAATCATAGTGGGGACTAACATAAATCTCTCCTCCTCCCTGCTTCTGCTTCTGCTTCTGCTTCTCTGCTTTCCTGTAGCTTAGCCTACCCCGGGCAGCCCAAGAAGAATAGTACCTCTGAGCATCAGTTGTCCCCCCACCCCCCCAAATCGTTTCAGGAGACAGCCGTTATAGTGTGAAAAGTGCCTTAGCCTGGGAGTCAGAAGATGTAGGTGCTAATCTCTGCTCTGCCGCTGAATGGATTAAGTGACCTTGGGCAAATTTCCTTCCCAGTTTGTAAATGGGCTTGTACCAAGTGATCTCTCCGGGTTCCTCCAACTCTGGGATTCTGTGGTTCAGTGATTCTGACCAAGGCCAGAGCCGTCCCCTCCCCTTGGTGGGGCAGAAATGCAGGGTCTGGGATTGGATTCATTCCCAGAGATTCTCCATCCGCAGCCCTCACCACCTCCAGAGAGGGCTCCCTGAACAAAGGAGCACCAAGGAATGGGGGCTTTTGCCAAGTGATGGCAGATTTTCTGGCTGTTGTCAGGAAAATTGATCCAAAGTATACCCCCTAGGGCTGCAATTCCCTGAAAAAGGTGATAGCAACAGATGCGGGAGAGACTGCTTCTCAGCCTACTCAGTTTCTGCCTGGTCAGCTGGAAAAGAAGCCCTCCTGGAGAAGGCTGGGAGATGACTTTGGTTGGGGGGCAGCACACAGCCCGGGAGCCCTGGGGGGCTCTGATTGAGCTGTCCAACCTTGATATTCTACCAGGCCTCTGCCCTTTGTCTCTGGAATGGAGCACGAAGGGTATGGTGATTAAGGAGGTCGAATCAGGAAAGGGCTTAGAGTTCAGTCTTACCCCTCTGAGGTCATGGGCTCGTGAGTTGAGGGTCTTGGTACCCTAACCTCGCATCTATTACGCCTTTTAAAAGTGTGTTTTTAACTGAATTCTTTTATGCTGTGCCCTTGGGTGGACACTGAATTTGGGTAGCCGCCCTCATTTGGCATATGGGGAAACTGAGGCTCAGACAGTCTCAGTTGACCCTACTCCGATATTGCTCTTATTCCTAGCTGGGGATTTGTGCTGCTTCGAGATCTGCAAACTCTGAGCAGAGGTTGGGGTGGCAGTTGACCAAGCAGAAACCAGGTCATGTAATAGAGCAGGTCTGGGTATTGGGGGATCTAGGAATGTCTCCTCTTTTGAATGGGGTATAAACACTACCTGCTGCCTTGCCTGCCCATATTTCTCCTGGCTGGTTGAGATGGATGTAGTGAGAATCCCAGCAGCCATTAGGCTCCAGAAAGCCCTTCCTCTTCACTCCAGGGCTTGGTGGGAGCAGGCAGAGGTGTGTAGTGCAGGCCTCGCAGCCCCTCAGCAGCCACACACATTTGGAGCTGGAGCTGCAATACCCCCTGGTGGCCACAAGCCATGCTGCAGCCTCTGGCCCATCTGCCCTCACAGGCTCTTCGACTACCGGGGCCGTCTGTCACCCGTGCCAGTGCCCAGGGCAGTCCCTGTGAAGCGACCCCGGGTCACAGTTCCTTTGGTCCGGCGTGTCAAAACTAACATACCTGTCAAGCTCTTTGCCCGCTCCACAGCCATCACCACCAGCTCAGCCAAGATTAAGTGTAAGTGACTGTATCATCTTCCTAAGTAATTTGCATTTTTATCATTAGCAAAATAATAGAATCACATTTTTATACATTGGGAAATAGATAAAAGAACAAATCTTCCACAGTTCTGCTGCTCTAACACAGCCAAGTGAGTATTTTCATGCATTTCTAAGAGGAAACAGCTGATGTTTTAGGAAGAGGGGGTGGGTTGGGCACAAAGAGTCCAGTGCTGGGATGTGGTACCCAGTGAGGGGATGGTGCCATCTTTCCTCTAGTAAGGATAAGGACAGGTCTACACAGGCCCACTACTCCACATTCACTCCGGTGTACACATACTGCTTGACTTAGCACCCAGGGATTCGGACTGTGAAAAACACATGTTCTTGCTCAAGTGCACACAGAAGAGCACACCACACATACACACCTGTGCTCCAATCTGTCCGCTGTCCCTTTCAGAGCTGAGAGATTGGGAGACAAGATAGCCAGGTTCAGAAGTGTGAGGCCTTTTTCCTGAGCAGGGGAAAAAAACAAAAAATAACTGCCTTCCTAATTGAAAGAACAGGGCTGAGGTTTTGTGCTAGTGTCAGGCCTTCAGCCTCCTAGGTAACAGCCCTGTCTCCCCTCCACTTTCAGTAAAGAGCAGTGAGCTTCAGGCCATCAAGACGGAGCTGACACAGATCAAGTCCAATATTGACGCCCTGCTGAGCCGCTTGGAGCAGATCGCTGCGGAGCAGAAGGCCAATCCAGGTCAGCCTCTGAGGATTCTCACCCACCTCCATGACCAGGGCACAGGGCAGAGCATGGGGAGGATAGTACCTGGGAGAGAGGAGCTAGAGTGACCCTGCAGATCCATGCTGAGGCCAGCTTCCACTAAGGTGCTGCCCTAGGCAGCTGTCCCAGGCTGAGTTTTATTCCCCTCTCCTCCACCCCTTCCCTTTAAGATGGCAAGAAGAAAGGTGATGGTGGTGGCGGCAGCGGTGGTGGTGGTGGTGGCAGCGGCGGCGGCGGCGGCAGCGGCGGTGGCAGCAGTGGTGGTGGCAGTGGCAGCAGTCGGCCACCAGTCCCCCAAGAGAACACGACTTCTGAGGCAGGCCTGCCCCAGGGAGAAGCACGGACTCGAGACGACGGCGATGAGGAGGGGCTGCTGACACATAGTGAGGAAGAGCTGGTGAGGGCCTGGATAGGAGCACGACTGGGACTCGACTGCACTCCTACTCTCAGGAGGGCAACAGGGGAAGGGGCAGCCTCTGAGCTGCTTGCCCCCACTGTGAGCTCCCCCTTCTCTCCTTCCCAGGGGTTCCAAGAATGAGCAGGGGGCACTTGCCATCTCAGACACCATCAGAAGTCCCACTGATGCCTAGGGCAGACATCTCCCAAGCCTAGGCACATTGTGCCCTTTGTTTTCCACGAGTTGGAGAAGGGGAGATTTGGACATAAGGGAGCACACACAGCCTGCAGAGCTTCAGAACAGGGCTGGGGAGGCTCGGGGAGGCCACCGCAGGGAGGTGGGTGTCACCTCCGCATGAGAATTTTCTAAAATCCATTGCTGCTCAAGCATGAAGCAAGCTGTCTCATAAGGGGGTGAGCTCCCCGCCTGTTACTAGAACTATTCAGGCTGAAGCTGGGAGGCCATTTGACAAGCAGCTTATGTTGAGGGGAGGGTATACCAAACTCTGAGTTTGTGGGATACGGGTTGTACACTTGCTGCTTATTTATTTAATGAACTCTCATTGAGCACCAGACCCAGACCATACTCTCAACTTTACATAACCTTAACAGGAGCCCTGTGCGATGCAAGTATTCTGTTCCCACATTTTACCCTGTGAGGAAACTGAGGCTCAGTGGTGTGCTCAGGCTTCAGCTCATAGGGACTGAGCCAGGGTTGGAGCCCAGACTGACTTACTGGGTCTGCACTTTCTCTTTTTCATCCCTACTGGGTTCTGTCATGAGAACAGATAGGCTTATGGCCATGACAGTTAAGAGGTCTGCCTTACGCCTAGCTCATCTCTCTTTTGAGCCTAGCCTTATCCTTTTACTTTCTCAGGCATAGCAGTGTCCATAAAGGCCCTAACAAAGACTTAGATGGGCCAGGCGCTGTGGCTCACGCCTGTAATCCCAGCATTTTGGGAGGCTGAGGTGGGAGAATCACCTGAGGTTGGGAGTTCAAGACCATCCTGCCCAACATGGAGAAACCCTGTCTCTACTAAAAATACAAAATTAGCCAGGCATGGGGGCACATGCCTGTAATCCCAGCTACTCAGGAGGCAGAGGCAGGAGAATCGCTTAAACCCCGGAGGCAGAGGTTGTGGTGAACCAAGATCGCACCATTGCACTCCAGCCTGGGCAACGAGAGCAAAACTCTGTCTCAAAAAAAAAAAAAAAGAAAGGTTTAGGTGTCCCCCCAAAGATGGGGAGCTCACCAGTCTGTGAGGCTTTCCGCCTTCTCCACTGCAAGCTCTCTATGCACAAAAATGGGCCTCCTCCACTCCCAAAACTCCCTTGACTGGCCCGTCTCTTTTCTGTGGGGCCCTCAGACCACTTTCCCAAGTTCCCAAGCCAGCTTTCTTGGCTGGTCCCATAGTTATTCCCCTTGGCTGTTTCTGCCTCTTTCTGACTATGTCGTCTAGATGCTCTCTGGGCCCTGAAATCTTTCTGGACAAATGGCTCAGGGCAGGACTCAGCGCTGGCAATGAGTGATGTGTGATCTCTCTTACCTCCTCATCAGGAACACAGCCAGGACACAGACGCGGACGATGGGGCCTTGCAGTAAGCAGGTACAAGGATCCTGTCCTGATGGGTAGGGGGTGGGGAAGCAGTGAAGTGGAGGTTGTGCCTTTTCCCTGGGTTGGGCAGGAAGTATCATGAAGCATACCTGGCCAGGTAGCACTGACTGTGCCCAAGAATGAAGTCCCCCCCATATCTAGCCATCCCACCACATCCTTTCATGCCTGGGGCTTGCCAGGCTGAGGAAGCAGGTACCATAGATGGGCCACCCAGTCCCACCTACCAAGGGTTCCTTCTCTCAGCACACTCAGCCCTGTTGCCTGTCTCTACCCTTGAGGAGCTCCTAGTCTGGTAGAGGAGGATATAAGCCATTACCACCTAGTGTGAGCAGGATAACTATAGAGCAAAGCCAGGTCATGGAAGACATGATGTGTAGCTGAGCCTGCTAGTTATTGAGGGAGAAGAGTTTCAGAAGAATGGCCTTAGCCCTACAGAGCTGTGACAGTCCCTGGTATATGGTGAGGCCAAGAGCCTCCTTTGGCTGCAGTGCCCTCTTAGTTGGTAGAGGACTCTGCTTATCATCAGAGGGTGATAATTGTGAAGGGCCATATGTGTCAGGCTTAGGGGCGGGGACTTGATTCTTTAATAGGGAGGAAATGCCCTGTGTGACAGGAGCTGCCCCTGCTTTATCTGATTTCATCTTCAATCCCACAAGCTTATGATTGTACCAATATAACAGATGTGGAAACAGACACTAAAGGATGAAGGGAGATAAGGTAGTAACTGATGGAGCCTGGATTTCAGCCCAGTTGTGTGTGGCTTCAAAGCCTACTCTCTGGCCACTGTTCACCACCTATTCTGCTCTACCTTAAAGGAAAGCCAGGCAGAACCTAGCTCTGCCTACTCTCTGACCCTTTCTCTTGGGGTGGCTTGGGTGGAGAAAGGGAGGAGTCTGGATAGATGACACATTTATGCTGTAGTAAGATCCCACCAGCAAAGGCTTCCAGAACAGCTTTAGAAAATTCAACATAGGTAATCTTCCTCTTGGAACGTTTTGATTTGTTTTCCCTGGGAGGCAAACAAACCTCCATATCCAGCCATCCTGCCACACCTCTTTGTGCTTGGGGCTTACTAAACCTTGTTAAAATGATTCACACGTGAGTTACATGGGCTAAGGTGAGGAAATGGAGGTTCAGAGAATGGATGAGACTTGCCCAAGGTTACGTGGCCAGGAAATTATGAGGCCACAGCCAGAGTGCAAGAATCTCTCTGTCTGCAGGCATCATTGCACCCTTTCTTCCCTACTCCTGTTATCAAGAGCACCAGGGTCTCTCTCTCAGCCTTAGTCTCTTCTTTGTCTCTCTCTTCCTCAGCCTGACAGGAGCAATGGCCAGCAGGAGAAGGGCATTACTGCCCTAGGCCTCAAGTCGGGCACCCATCCCTGGATGCCACCCCCCAGCGGGTACCAGAGGAAAGCTGGCAGCAGGTGCCTCCTCCCGCAACGCATCCCAGCCAGTGCTGTGTCCTCTGCAGGTGGAGTTACTGGCCTACTCCTTCCCCGTGAACCCTCCCTATCTGCACTGCCCGGGCCAGAGGGTAGAGCACTCTGCCTCCTCTCCCCAGGACACTCCCAGGCTTGGGGTTTTTCTATAGGTTTGGCGGGGGCCGGGGGGGAGGGAATACAGGGAGGGGACCCTGACAATAAAGAGATTGGATCCCAACCTGCTCTGAGATGGGATGGTTTGTGTTTTCTCAGGAAGATATCCTGGCCCTTCTGCCCACCAAAAAGCCGGTCTGGGGTTCCTAATACTGACCCATCTGGACCTTAGTGTCCTCAGTGGTGTTTAAAATGGCCAGTGGGACCACTGGGAATGGTTGGATATGCTGGCCTTTGAGCATCTTGCTCAATTGTCAAGCAGTTGTGACCCACTTGGTTTACTCCATAGTAGGTTAAGACCTTATCTGTTTCCCCAGCTGCTCACTAAGTCTGGTCTTTCCCAGCTCTTAAAAGGATTCTAGAATCTGTCACACTCTACCTTCTCTCTTCTGGCTTAGGACACTAATTTTTTTTCACTTGGACTTTGTCCTCCCACCAGCCTCCCAGTCTCCTGCTTCTGTCCTATACCATCTCCCAGCAGCCATGCAGTCCTTCTCTGCCTAAAATCCGTTTACTGACTCTTCATCATCAGGACAAAAATCTCACCTCCAGAATGTGGGGTATAAGATCCTATTTACTCTGGCCTCTCCTGTTTCTTCTTACCACTTCTGCCCCCACCCCCACCTCCCACCACAAACCCTACATCTCAGCCTCACAAAACACACAAGTTCTTCACTCCAGGCAGGTTTGGTAGCGAGGAATAGAGCTTCACTCCAGTGACAGCAAGCAGTAGAAAGTTTGCATCAGGATACACACAGCCTGTCTGCCCATCTTAGGCCACCCATCTAGACATTCGTTCTCTAACAGTTGGCTGGGTTCCTTCAAACTTTTGCTGCTTCACAGCTTAAACACGCACATTGTGTACCGCTAATGTCACCTCCTTCCCCGTTTATTCCCAATAATGAATGGATCCATTGTCCCCATGTTCAAGTTCCCAAGAAAGAATCAACTGCCATTGCAACTTTTTTCCTCTAATCACTTATAGGTTACAAGTACCCACCCTGGTCCAGTGAACTGCGGGATTCAAATTTGGCCACTTAGGCTGGTTTTGTTGGTATGGAGCTGTGGGAGGGCGGCACCCAGAAACAGGCTTTGTTCCAGGCCTGGCACATACTCTTCCTGCTCCTTTCTCTACCTGGGAAATAGCTGCTCAGCACGAAGCTGCTGCTGTGGTATCACCACCTCTGAGAAGTATCCCAGACCTTCCAACTGCCCTTGAATCACTTGTTCTCTCCTCTGGAAGCCTTCCTACAATACAGGAAATTCAACCCCATCATCAGAAAGGGTTTTAGGTTTTTCCCTCCATCTTTACATGTTCCTCTAAGTTTGCAGATCCACTGGAATCCTTATTGAAAACTCCCAGTTTCAAACCAACCAGGTCTACAGCCTCCAAGGAAGCTTCCCCCTGGGCTTTGGCTTCAGGTTTTGGTAGAGGGTAGAGGCTTTGGACAGTGCTCAGACTTTGCAGCTAATTTTTAAATTATTTGTAGAGATGGGAGTTTCCCTATGTTGCTCAGTCTGTTCGTAAACTCCTGGGCACAAGCGATCCTCTTGCTTCAGCCTCCCGAAGTGCTGGGATTACAGACTTGAGCTGCTGCACTCAGCCACCTTTGTATTCTTAATTGTATTCCACCTCTGCAGAATTTGGCTCTACAGAAAGAGGGGTGTGTGTGTGTGTGTGTACGCGTGTGCACGTGTGCATATATGTAGCATTTACTGGGTTCCCTTCTAAGTTCTTTACACAGATTACATTATTTATTCCTCACGATTGGGAAACTGAAATTTAAGATTGACTAATTCGCCCAAGATCGTGTCACTTGAAGGAGGTAGAGGCAGGATACAAACCTTCCCTGACCCTGTCGTAATAAACAACTCTGAAATTCCTCGTGGTTTTTGTGACAACAGTCTCTACCGGCTCTCCTCTGAGCACTCCAGGTTCCCTTGCTGACTCTTCCTGTATGCCTCCACCTGTCTACCCTCTTTCTCTGTGCTCGCTGCCTGGATGACCTCATCCATGGCCTCAGACTCCACTCACAGCTCCATGATCTTCATCTCTAACTCATTTTCTCCCCTCAACACCAGGGGAGTGGGTACAGATGGCCATCTCATAACTGTACTTGGATGTCCACAAGGACCTGTTCAGTCCCCACTTACCGTGTCAACCCCTCCACTCTTCCCTCTCTGTATTAATTTTTCCCTGGTACCTTAGGCCCTTTCTGCATCTTACTTGGACTTTTGCAATAACCTCTAACTAGTCTCCTTGCTGCTCTTCCTACTCGGCTGTCCTCTTTATCACCATCCCCCTTCTCAACACCTCCCCTCCCGCAATCTGCCTCCTAGTCTCAAGCCACATGGAATAAATTGTGGTAAGACCTGTGCTGTCTGGCTTGTGCCTTTACACATGCAGTTCTCTTTACCTCGTCTGTCTTCCCCCTCCCCACCACTGGCTAACCCTTATCTTTTGTAACAGCTCAGAAGTTGCCTGCTCAAAGAAACTTTGCTGGCCTGAATTAGAACTGCCCTCCTATGTGCTACTTCCATCACAGATCTTACCATCTAATTACTGTGTTACACACACACAAACATTTTTTTTGAGATGGGAGGTCTCACTCAGTCATCCAGGTTGGAGTGCAGTGGTACGATCCCTGCTCACTGCAACCTCTGCCTCTAGGCTCAAGCAATCCTCCCACCTCAGCCTCCTGAGTAGCTGAGACCACAAGCATGTG